CACAGATCTTTATTAGATTCCAGATGTTTATTGATATACATACAGAAACCAGATAGTCTCAAACCAAATAAATGGTAAATAACAATTAAATATGAGTACAACTAAAGTGGTTGTGAGTAGGTGAGACAGCAAAGTAAAATCCGGTTCAGTGGTTCAGAGGTTAGTCATCCGAGAGCAAGACCGAAGGTCCTGGGTTCGAGCCCCACGAGGTACAGAAGTCGTGGACGTGCACTGCTCATGAGTCCCATACCAGGACGAAACGGCTGTCCAGTACTTCCAGGTTTCTAATGGTGATCTAACATTGATCGATTCATGATTTCATTGAGTAACTTAACAATCTTCACAAGCCTGTAATGAAAATAGGAGTAATAATTTTGGTAGCGAATAGTTTATGATGAGACAAATAAATGTTCCTAATGATTTAATTACTGAAATTGGTTAGTCTCTTATAGTCTATAGGTTCCTTGAATAAATACCTCTACATTGCATGGAATTAGTACAGAAAACGAAGGAAACATGCTTCCTTGACTCTATACTTAGTTGTAATCAAAAAGTCTGAAAATCTTATATTTACAGGTAACATTTATCAGTCCATTTAAGTTTGTCTTCTCCAAACAGACACTGATGGAACTTAACTTTTGGGTATCAGTGATAGACAAATACATTCATTACAAGGATAGTAATTACTAACAATGTTAAAAACAGTAATAGTGTAGTGAAGGAAAACACAGGTGGGGCAACCGGATTGTATTTAACGAAAATTACAGTTACTCAGTGAAATAATAACTTGATACCATAGTAAATATTAATTGGTGTTTTGAAGCGAAAAGTATTGAGTTCAATGCTCACTGTCATCATCAACAAAAAGACTCAACTGCAGAAATTCCTAAATAGAACGAGAGGTAAACCTTAAATTTTAGTACTAGCCGCAACCATGAAAAAGCTTATTTTAATCACATCAGATCCAGGGAAAGCTCAACTCATATGGATTACTAGAGATTAGTTAACTTTATTCAGTGAAGTTATAACACGCTAGCTGACTTACTTCATCAACACCAGAAACATAGTTTCTCCTGAATTATCACTTCATTGTCAAAATTAAATTAAAAATAAATGTTTTTCGGCTATAGCATTCAAATGAATTCGCTACCAAATATTGACACTTGAAACCTGAAATAATGATATGTATTACATTTTCAACTTTATTAAATTATTGAACTAGGTTTTTGAAAAATTTGTTTCATTTGACTTTAAAATCAAATAATATACATGTCCAATGTTTCATATTAACTAATGTATTTACAATTTTCATCTGTCCCATAGTCTATTAATGATTAGATATCCGATTAAATGAGTGATATAACAAATTTAAATGTAACTTGAATAAATTTGTTCTATCTATCTGTATGAAATCAATAAGCTTAATTTGACTGATATTAGAGATAAATAGATTTTTTAAAAACTTGTTGTTTATCTGAACGATGTGATTTATGCATTGTTTAATTGAAAATCACGACTGAATTTTGATTTGAAAAAAACTACTGACTACATCAATTGTAGAAAAGTACTGTGATCTCATTGATTTATCCTGATAATTTTTTAACTATCTGTCAATAAAGCTGAAATGAATGATAAATGGACATGAAGAAAATGAACTAAACAATTCAGTTACGTAAAAACTTCAAAACCAAATTACAAGATGTAATTAGGTCGTTTTTATCCAGTGCGAGGATATAATTCGAGAAGTATAATTCAGTGAGATAATATTAGAAAGATAAAGATAAAGATTAAGATGATGATGAATTCGGGTGGGATTTGCTAGAACATAGAGAGTGGATGTACAAGCGCCATTGCAAACGGTTTTGAGCCATGTCATTCAAGATCTCTAACCATCGGTTACTATCGTCTTGCGGACCCCATCCAGGTAGTCTGCATCTACTAACATGACTCAGTCCACTTATCGGTGACTTCATGGATTTGCGTCATGTTTTGGTTTGGCCTCCCCTTGCTTTCCTCCGACCTATTCCTATATCGCAAAATATAGCTCGACAAGGCAGTCGGTCGTTAGGCATACGTAACACATGTCCCAACCACCTCAACTGATGCAGTTTCATTACGTCATCTTTTGAGCTGCCATCCTTACTTAGCACTCGGTTCATAATAACAAAATCGCTTACTCGATTGCCCCAGCATATACGAGCAATGCTTCGAAGACATCTATAGTCTAATATTAATAACCTACGAATCTCTTCTACTCTGACTGGTCATGTTTCATATCTGTAAAGTAAGACGGAGCGAACAGCTGCACAGTTGACTCGTCCTTTGGTTAGCAAAAGGATATCTCACCTACGCCATAAGTGACACAAATTGGCGAAAGCTAGTTGAGCCTTCTCTATCCGTGCTGATATTTTGTCAGTTACCAGACCATCAGCTCTGATGAGACTCCCGAGATTAGTGGAGCAGTCGACATGCTCAACTGCTTCACTCCCTATCATTAGTTCGGGGGCCGACGCAACCCAGTCTTGAAGCAACAATTTGCATTTTGACTGTGAGAATCGCATCCCGAACATGCTTATGTAGGCATTGTCATTGGAAATCAAGGACAACTGCTCAGTCTTACAAGTAGCACAATGTCCTTAAACTAGGTAGTTATTATCAAAAAGTTGAAGATTTTTAAATTCAACTAATTTTAATAATCATGAACCAATCTAGGTCAAATAATTTCTAAAAACGTCGGAGCAATGAATAGATGTTTCTTTCTAGTATAGGAACCCCCCAATAATGTTCATCTACAACCTTGAAAGCAGTGGTTGAACTCAGGGTAGTTAGTCTGTCGCACAGGCACCCAACCTCTAGATACCTAAGCTAGAAGCCAATGTTGCTCAAGTCTAACTTCTCTAAGCTGGATGTTTTGGTTGTGCAGCTTTCAGAAAGACTTCTAACTGACGTTTCTGCTAACAGTTACGTTGTTCACAAGACCAATGAAAGCTCCACAACCAAAACATCCAGTTCAAGGAACGAAGCACCGCCACAATTTCCGTTTTGGTTATAGATTATCTGAGTTCTCTAGTTTATATTTATTGATTTTTTCCGTTTAGCATGATAGTTTTATATATATTTTTTGTTTCACAGAAATATCAATTTTCATTTCTATTCTTTTTTTCTTTTTATTCAGGCTGATGTGAATATAAGTTATGTAATAAAAAATTATCAAAATCCTTATAATTTGGATAGTCGATTAAGAAAATGTGAAGCATTAAATGTTTTCGGTGATCATTGTGATCCGTTTTTTCATTTCGCTGCTTATACAACAACGGATAAGTAAGTTGAATAATTGATTATCAAGTAGGAGGATACTTTTGAAAACAGCTAATTTCTTCAAAGTTACTTAAAGGTTTAGGAAAAAATAATATTAATAAATTTCATTTTAATTCCTCGTCTTTTGCTTACACTTCTAACCTCTCACACAGTCTTCATTACCAACTAATTCAGAATCGTCCGTCGATCAATGTTAGACCACCATTAGAAACCTGGAAGTACTGAACGGCCGTTTCGTCCAGGTATGGGACTCATCAGCAGTGCGCGTCCACGACACCTGCACCTTGTAGGATTCGAATCCAGGACGTTCGGTCTTGCGCGCGAACGACTAATCTCTGGACCACTAAGCCGTTATCTAACGGTGTTAATGTCTAACATTGATCACTTGTTCTCTCATCACTCTCTACATTGAAATTAACTGATCTGCGGTCTGGTATTGTGAATGCTGCTTTTATCCAGAAACGCCACTGTTGTGATACAAACCCACTCACTTACTCACTTACATCGCAGGACATACAAAATTCATAAAGAACTTCCAACTGACTAGAATTTGTACAGTCAAGTGACTAGACTACCATCCGAAAGAACAACAATCGAGCTCGAAGAAATCAATTCGTTTTTTACTAGATATAATATAATATATAACTTACAAAACGCACACATTTTCGAATGATCACTTCACTTCTGTACGATTTTAGGTACACACGTTAAATCGGTCAAGACAGTTTTCTAAGTCAATGACTACTGAGCTATTTATTATATGTGATCGAATAGTTCATATATGCAACAACTTTAGTTGCAAACAGTTTTAAATAACCTTAATAATTAATAGAGATCGATTGGTATTTGAAATTGTTTGTTATATGTTGCACATTAATCGATCATTAGCTACTGTTAGTTTTTACTTTGAAACAGTGTGAAGCACAATTAATTTTTGCGTGTACATCATCATTGTACATTAAATCAAACTGTTTGTTAGTTAAGTCTTCATGTGACTAATTTTTAAATGAATTAAAAAGTATCCACTTTTTTTTCATGGCGGATTTTTCAATTCTTAAGTTTATGTGTAATTTTATTATGTGAAAGCTTAGTTTATCTTTCGATGACTATGAGATTGCATGAAAAAAAGGAATATATTTTATTTTTTTTATTTATAGTGAGTTTAAATAGTTAGTAATTAATTAGTTGCACCCTACTGGATGATCAAAAGTGAATGTTCTAGATTTAAGTTATTGATTGTTTTAAATTGACTATATATATATCACTTTCACGACAGAATAAAACTAAAACTCTTCTCAATGCTTATTCAATAGACAATGAATAAAAAGACAAGTATACTCATCAAAATGTTACAATCAAGCTTCATCTTATCGACTTACTTACTGATATCTGTTACCCCCAGTGGAGCTTACTCTGCCGACCGGCATTCTCCAACCTGCTGTCACCTGGCACTTCCTTTCCAGCTCTACCTAGTTTCTGTTCATTCTTTTTATGTCTGTTACAAATTCTTGGTCTTCCTCATCTCCTATAAACTTCAGAATTGCAACTGAGGGCCAGAATTGTAAAAAAATTTGAGTGCTTTCTTCAATGTGTGTCCGATCCACCCTCCAGAATTTTCTTAATTTCTTGCTCAGCTGGAATCTGATTTGTTCTAACCCATAGTAGGTTGTTGCTAATGCTGTCTGGTAGAACTATATTGACGTCTGTATTGAAAAATCCTAACTTTTCGTGTTGGTTGACAGTTGTTTTCAGTTTCATACGTTCTCCATCAAGTGCTATTTGGTTGGTACATGATGTGTTGTATCGAAGGATCTTGTACTTTCCGTTGTGTTTGTTGAGACCTACTGCTGCTGACACAACTGCCTGATTGGTCGCCTTCTCCTGCATGTTAAGATCATTGTTAAAATAAGATTTATCACACATGAAAAACAATGAATAGCACACCGACCTGGATCTAGCTATATTCTAAATTGGGGTACACTCAAGATGCATACTGAACAACAAAGACTGATAAAAATTAGACATTAAACAGTAACATGCCAGTTCGAATCCTCACTACTGACAAAAAGATTTGAAGGTCAACTGGTTATTTGTTAAATGAACGGAGTATATGGAAGATGCATATATTATGACACTCAATACTTTTAAATACTTACGCGACTGTTCTAGTTTTTAGACTAATGAACTTATCGAATCTTCTTGAGTCACAATAGTCAACCTTGCCGATTACTCAGCTGTGACCTAGACCATATCTTGTACATGTGCATATGTTAGTATGAATGGTTTCGGATACCTAAATGCACCTACTTCATGCTTATGCAGACTGAATCACCTATTGCTCACTGAGTTGGCCATATCTATGTTGTTTGTAACTGGATATGTCTAAAGAGAGTGTATACGGTGTACATCTGTTGTACATTGCATTGATATCAGTATTACTCGATCATAGTGGAGTTAAACAATGGTCATCAAATGCTTATTTACACTTATATTGCACTGTTGTGTGTTGTACTACTGGGGTGTTATTGCACACACACAGCATGAAAATTAAAATGTCACTGAATTTATGAAATTATGTTATTGAATCATATATCATAAATCTTAACAAATCCAAAATGATTCATTTGACAACAATGGTTTGATTAAACCGCTTCTTTTTGTTTATATCAATAAAATCAATATGAAGAATAACGAACAAACAAAAATCATGGCGACAATTTAGGAGGAAAATGTAACTGTATTGGTTTATTGATTTCTATACATTGAACTAATTTGTATGTATACTGTCAAATGTTGCTGAGAATATCAAGATAATTATGATTTTGAGATGATGGAGAAAATTTGTAGCTCAGGTGGATGATTGTGGTGGAGTTGTTTGCGAACAAAGATAGGTTTAAGGTCAATAACAATCAATCAAAACTCAGGTTAACAGAACAAGCGACGGGTCAAACGTAGAGAAATTCGAATACTTAACATCTATCTGAAGTTTGTGCTGACAATGACGTTGTTCAGAAGAACAATGAAAGCTCCACAGCCAAAACATCCAGTCCAGAGAATGAAACTTCACCATAATTATGCTTGTTGAATTAAAAATGGTAGATGACAGTAACTGGCTATTTCAGCATCACTTATCAACACTATTTATTAAGATAGGTATACTTAACACTTATAATTCTAAGTGTTCCTTCAATAGAAACATTCTATTGATGAACTTCAATAAAGAAAAATGCATATATTCTTAATTTTATTGCAAATTACTAATCTTAACAGTAAATGAATGAAAAATTGTACTTGTGAAGTATCGAGGTTAAACTGATGCAAAGTTACAACAAAATATGAAAAATAACCTTTGTCGTGTGTGTATTAATACGTCGAGCCAACAAGACTTGTCCTAGATTTTAGACAAACTGATTGACTTTTTCTAATAGAGTTATCATTACTCACTCGTTTTTCGGACTTTGTCTTTTATTTGTTCATAATCTTGGTTAATTTATTTATTTAAGTGTAAGTGTATTTTTTAACTCGTCTGTCAAATGTCTAGCCTTTTATTTGTCTAGCTCACTTAACTTTTCCACTTTGCTTCGCTATGCTTGGACGCTTTGCATTCTCCTATCTGTCTGCGCAAAACGATTGCGTGAGATAAACTCATCCAACTGAATCTGTATTCGGCTTCTTATTACCGCCATCACTCAATGGAGTTCACCCAAACATGATAAACGGCGATTGAAGGATGCACCTGCGCCATTGCAAACGATCATAAGCCATGTATATCAAGGGTTTTCGTCAGACATATCCCAACCACCCTAACTGGTGAAGATTCTCTACTTCATCAATTCATCTGCCGTCCTTACCTAGTACCCGTTTCATAACAATAACATTGCTTACTCGGTTGTTCCCAGATATACGAGTAATGCTTCGAAGACATCTATAATCGAATACGAATAAAATAAGAATGTCTTCTACTCTGACTGGTCATGGTTCACATCTGTAAAGTAGGATGGAGGGAACAGCTGCGCAGTAGACTCGTCCTTTGATTAGCAGACAGATATCTCGCTTAGGCCATGAGTGATACAAACTGGCGAAAGCCAGTCGAGCCTTCTGTATCCGTGCTGAGATTTCGTCAGGCACCAGGCCATCAAGACTGATGAGACTCCACTAATAAGTGAAGCAGTCGACAAGCTCAACTACTTCACTCCCTGTCATTATTTCAGGGGCCGATGCAATCCAATCCTGAAGCAACATTTTTCAGGATGCAACCCAGTCATGCAAAATGTTGCTTCAGGATTTCGCAAGATGCAAAATTTTAGACACGATATTTAATCATGATCTTTGTGTGTTATAGGTTTTGTTTCTTTCTCACAATTGTATATTGACGTGAAACTTATAGTTTGCTAATACGGTATTATGTCCGGTGACATCAGATTATTACTGTTCGATTCATGCGATCATGAATACAGTTTATTAGGTTCTATATAACAAGATGAAAAAACGCGGAAATCAGCGTGAAATCTAATACCATTTTGTACAAAAGACTTCATCTTTATTCATCTCATCAGTTAGTATACACATAATCAACTTTATGGGGCTGTAAAGTTGAAATTCATACAAGTACAGTGTTATATATTACTTACAAACATTTCTCTGATATATCATTTTACGCATAAAATATTATTCAAACCAAAAATATTTGGTATCAATTATGTTTTGTATTTTCTGCATGCTTATCTAATCTACTAGTCGAGAAAGGCGTTCGACATTGCGTAAAGAAGCTGGACCATTTGTAAATTCAAAGTTTATTGATCACGTTCTTGAAGTGTATGAAGTACAATCAACATTTCCGGTAAGTTACTATCTCTGAATGGAATGGCTTTAACGAAAAAGGGATAATTGATTAAGAAAATCAATTTAAGTTCTGGTAGATATGATCAATACCATTAAAAACTAGTGAGCATTGAACAGATGTTACGTTTTCGTTTAATCATATATTGCAGTATACATTTATTATACATTACTGAGCTTTGAAATACAATGGCATTCACAATGGATATAGATTTAGTTTTTTAAACGAGCTTCAATCACCGTGTGCTGGGACTGTGAATGAGCACTAATTAGGAGTAACAAACTAGGATGAAATAACCATCCAATGATTTCAGGTTTCCAATAGTGGTCCCAGATTGATCAGTTCATGATGTCGTGTGCTTTTACGGTTATGAGGGTCCATGTTACTTTCCGGCTGCTCACACTGTGGAAGGGCTCTGGTTGTCAGAAGATGCATCTGCCTTATGACTTCCGAAGGAACTCGACTTACATCATGAGAACCTTTAAACTCCCAGGCCAGAGTTTCAATGATTTGAATTCTTTTTTCTGCTTAGTGTTTTCTTAGCGAGTTAGTTTTCTACAGGATGGGGTCGCCAACTACGTGCCTGGCTAACCTCCTTTATCCGGGATTGCAAACGGAGGGGCTCCGTTATTTGTTGTTGGATTGTTTGATCCCCAGAACTCGCTTGATAAATGTCTTTATTTTGGATTTATTTCATGGACTGATCAGTTGACCTTGAGATCACATTTCCCACCAAGAAAATCCTTGGCTGTGATTGGTTACTGTTATTCTAGTGTGCTATTTTGTGACTTTCCCAAAGACGTCTCTATGTTGTATGCTTGGATTCATTGTATGCTGGCTGGGTATTTGTAGAATACACTTCCTATGCTATATCAAGACTTCTTGCTAGTATATTTGGGTCAAGGGATCAGAGTAACCTACCTGGATGCTGGTTCATTACTTTGTTCTCGTTATTCGACTAAGGTGAACCCGTAGTAGTTTAAGCATACCTAGAGACGAGTCTAACATTTGAGATCTCTCAAATCCTAATCTTCTGAATTTCTCATCACTTTCATCTTTATTTTTTTAAGTTTATATCACTAGATTTGACTTCTTGAATGTTATCTTCGCACCCTACTCTTATCCATAACCACCAACACGTCTACAACCTCTACTACTACGGCATTTGAATAGACAATTGCATCTCTGTGTTGATGTGGTATGGCAACTTGAACTGATGTATGTACGTACTACGTTCTACCTTGTAACTGACTAACTGAGTTCATGATATCAAGGAAATAACAGATTTCGCTTGATATTCATATCAAATCAATATTACTAACTGGTTTCAAAGTTGACAAATAAATAAATGGTTATCTTTCTTTGTCTTTCATTTTTGGGTGTTTTATCACATTTTATTATTTCTAGTAGAGAAATAGAAAAAACAATAAATCACAAACATAGTCCTTTTTTTATTATTATTGTGTTATTTCGCAATCAAAATTGACAGATAACTGCTATCATATTTTTATTTTATCTTCGTGTACTTGATCCTTCTTTCTTCGTTAAAACTAAGTAAATTGTAATGTCTAAATATGGGTGCGCATGTGTGTGTGCATGCATGTGCGTTTGTGTGTCAACCTGTACAAACTGAGTGAAAAACTGATATAAAGTGTTTGTATGTACGTACATAGGTACACACACATATAGGTGTTTTATGGAAGCGATAATCTTCCGTTCAACAGGTATTTTGACTACAGCAAAAAACGAGAAGTAATTATGAAGCTGCTTTAATTGCAATGATTGAAAAGATGAAACAATCAATTCAACCAATACATAAGTGCGTGATCTATCTAATAAATTCGTGAACAGAACAACCAGTGATGGAAAAACTTTGGACAAATTGTTAACAAACTACAAAATCTTAGTGAAAATACAACATAAATCGATAGTCAGTTTTCGCAAAGTTCTTCAGGTTCTCCATCTAGAGCCCTTCTGGGGTTATTGCCAGTTCGAAGCTCGGATAAGGGAAGAGACTTGGTCATGAGGTTAGCCACCACATCCCGTAGAAAATCAGCTAGCTAAAAATCACTAACCAGAAAAAATTAATTGAATTCTTTAAGACTGAAGATGATTCAGGACGAAGAAGAATCTTGATCAGAAGCATCGACTAAGACACCAAACTTAGGTGATTCCTTGTGCCAACCGTTAACTAAAAGTTCCAGTAGATTTCAATAGAAACTAAAGCGATAGAGACTTGGAGAGACTTTTCGTCAAACATCGAAGTAATTCAGTATCTGTACAATCCCAAAAAGTAAATTTTTTTGATGAGAAGAGTGGTGTCTCCTAAAAGTTGTAAAATCTTATATCATCTCAGTTTTCATTGTTATCGAAGTGAAAGATCCAACCGGTAGGTTATTGTTAGGTTCGTCACTAGACATGCTTGAAACTATTACGGGTTCACCCGAGTCGATAAACTAGAACGAGGTAATGAACCAGCGTCCAGGTCGGCCATCTTGATCCGTTGACTCGAAACGGCTAAAGAGAAGTCTTGATATAGCATAGTAATTATATTCTACAAACATCCAGCAAGCACAATGCATTCAAACACACAAATCACATTTATTTATACATAATAGAAAGTCCTTGGGACAGTCACAAAAATAGCACACTAAAATACGCAGCAGCCAATCACAGTCAACAATTTTCCTGGTGGGAAATGAAATCTCAAGGTCAACTGATCAGCCCATGCTCGCAAACATGAAATCCAAAATTGAGGCATTTATCAATCCAGTTCTGGGGATCTAACGTCTCCAATAGCTATATAAGAGGAATGGACTAGGCTTATCGTGACATCACCTAGTACGGGGGCTGTTTTAGAATATGCATCCAAGACCTAACAACCAAGAATCTAAAACTAGGATTTTCGGTCTTGTGTGCAAACATTTAACCTCTACTCGTTTAAATTTTCATTTAGATTATACGTGATCAGATGGAATTATTTGTTTAAGACGATTTTCCTTTCGGAAACAAAGTTCGTCTTTGAATACAAATGAAATTCTGATTGAGAATATAAACACAGTAATGTCCGGGAATTCCAATATGATAGATTTGAAAGGAGTGTTTAGCGATTAACGCTGCTTCAGAAGGATTTGTTGTCGATATTTTTAGCTCCAGTATGTATTTTAATGACAAGATTGATACCGTATACAAATCGTTTTTATCAGTTTCTTGTAGAAATACTGTAGTTTACAAGATTTTTTCATCATAGGTAGTTTTCTTGGTAAAATAATTGTTTTACACTGTATTTATATGATTCTACAAGGTTTTGACAGCCAGATTGTAAACATAACTTAGTGTTTTACAATCTAAGCGATACAAATGTGTCATGATGTTGTATATGGAACTTATCTGTAGAAAGCTGTGACCATTTATGTCGATAGTCAAGGAAGTCAGATGAACAACATTGTAATTAACGAAATTCATTTGAATTTTTCCAATAAAATTATCACATGTGATGAAAAGTTTTTTACTCATCTGAATTGTTAAAGCACGATGCTCCACTCAAAGTAGGATGCTTCACTAAAGTTGATTCCATGAAACCGGAAATTAAACCTGCCACTATTTTTTTTATCACATTCCTAACTCTATTAGGATACCATAGAAATTGAACTTGACATTCAAGACAGTGATATAGATGAAGATCAACGAATAGCTCTATTCAGGCGAACAGTACCACTTGAAACCAAAGGAAGACATGAATTTCGAATGGGTGTTGATGTCAAGTAAGAGTGGTAAAGGTTATCTTTTCTTGATTTTGGTGTCGATTCAGTGTTAAAATAACTGTTTGGTTTTTCACACACAATCTTATGAAAATAGTTATACATGAGTTAAGTTGACGATCAATTTAATAACTAAAAAAGAAGTAATACTTTTCAAAAATACCACTTACGAATTAAACAGCTAATCATCAAGTGAAATATGTATTTTACTTAAAATGAAGACCACTGGGCCGGCATCCAACGGTCTTAATGTCTAACTCTGACTGATCTACGGATTTTGCACGACCTCATCCATTTGCCTTTGGCAGTTACTGCCTACATCCGACAAGGTTGAACTCCAAGACCGAATGTCCCGGTTTCGAGTCCTGAGAGGTGCACGATTCGTGGATGCGCACTGCTGATGAGTCCCTTACTAGGACGAAACGGCTGTCTTTCAGTGCTTCCATGTTTCTAATGGTGGTCTAACAATGATTGACTGATGATTTCAAATGTGTGTAAAACACTAATCTTGATAACTCTAATTGAAAATATTAAAATGAAGAGTAAATGTCATTTGAAAGTCACATAACAAATGAATCATAAATGAAACAGATAGTTATATATAATTATTTCATCCAACTGACATATTTCATCGCCCACATATTCCTATAAATCTGGAAACCTTTAAAGATTCATAATCTGTAGTCAGTATTATTCCTGTTTTGACTTCAAAGCCTCCTACGTAGTTTTAGCCTACTACCACAGAATAATTAGTTGGTTGTTTGTTAAAGAGATGATAGTGTCTGAATGTAACAAGGCTATATGTACAAGAGAATAATGTACCTACTGGTCACATTTGTATACTAATCAAATGACCATTATTAATCACTTATGCATTTATTCTAGAGGTAGCCATCGGATATGGAATAACTCGTGATGTATATCTTTTTAGGCAATCGTTTTTTGAGCATCAGACGACAGTATACCATACGGTAAAAGTACGGTGACTATTTTATTTTCCTGGAGTGGCAGCTTGATAGTTTTATTCGAACAACCACCGAGAGGTTTAATCGGATAATAATAAAACTTACTGGTCAGTTATTTACAGTGAAAACAGGAACTATAACATTAAAAACGCATACTAACTGTAAAAAATAGTGTCTAATCTTATCATGATTGAATTAAGCTTTATTTTAAGTAACTTATACGTGAATAATATTATAATATTATACACTATATATCAGTAAGTCAGTCAGTCATTTTCAACATGGAACTTCGTACGTATGTACATCAGTTCAGTTTGCCATACTACATTGGCATGAATACGCAACTGTCAGTTCAAATCCCACAGTGGTAGAGACCATAGAAGTACTAGCAGTAATCAGAGAGATTAGGGTTCGAAGATATTATTAAAAAGTGTAATCCGGTGAAATAAATTTAAAAAAGAGAAAGATGTAGTTGACGATGAACACAGAGGATGAGAATTTGAGAGAGCACAAAGAATGGATGCACCTGCTCCAGTGTGAATGATTTTGAGCCATGTCACTCAAGATCTTTAACCATCGGTTACTATTGTTTCGCGGACCCTAACCAGGTAGTCTGCATCTACAAATACGATTCAATCCACTTGTCAATGACTTCATGAACTTGTGCCATGTGTTATTTTGGCCACCTTTAGCTTTCTTCCAACTTACTCCTACACTACAAAACATAGCTCATTGATACGGTAGGCTGTTGAGCATACGTAACACATGTCTAAGCCTTCTCAAGTTCCAACACCGTTTATTGATTTGCCATCCCTATACATCGCTTACTTATATCAGGTAAATTTAATAAGACTAGTGAGTAGGAGCTTACTTTCATAACATTAAGTGACTGATCATTGTTTAGTGAGCATCTTCAATAGAGATGCATGAGAAAATGTTTACAGAAATGAAGAAAATATAAATCAATCATCTGCATAAATTCTTATGGATTTAACGAAGAATTTTTACGCGCCGTCTCCCATTTAAATCTTATTTATGTACGATAAATTTAGTGAACTGCTAATGTTTCAGCTTAATAAACTGAAATCCAGCCATTTTTCAAACATACCCTTTTTGGTTTAAAACGGTCAAATATCAAGTTTTAACAGCTTGTTTGTATAAACTAAGCCCCTGAAAATTCAAATCAAACCAAATAAGCTGTTAGGTAATCCAATAAGAAATTCACCAAACCAATCAAACAAATTGTGACTAATATTATTGTTAAGACAATTTCAGTTAAATTTACCTGGTTCAATGTTGAAAAATTTTTTGATCATGAAACTTATCTTCAATATTAAATACTAATCGAATAAACCTGATAATTGATGTCTATCTGTTTTGACTGCAGATTCTATATGAAATAATGTACTCCTGTTGTTTACGTAAATGTAACATAAATGACATTTAAAAATTTCAACCACTGAATGTTGACTCAATGGTTTGAAGGTTAAACACTCATTGCTAAACTGGAAGTTAATGAGTTCTCTTATAGCTTATCAGATTCTGACGAGTTGTGTACTTGAATGAAAAAGCTGTCTAATTCTTACTAATTGTCTAACTGAAATCATTCTGCAATGTAAGCTATTAAATTCAACAACAACTCCACAAACCCTCCAATAAATAATTAACTACAGTTTACGAAATCAGTTAACACTGACAGTTGACAACGGATGAACAGCGGGAATAAAAAACATATATATATATATATATCCTCACGTTCTAGCTGACCTTGTGGGACAAACTCGATCTTTAGCTTTATGTGGGGCCTTGAGGACTCCGGTCGATTGTTCAGCGCAGGGCAGTTGGAGGCCAGACGGTTGGAATGGCTGCTGGTTAGTGCACTGCTTGGGTGGCTCGGTAAACCGCTTCGGGGTGCCAGGTCTAGCTGGGTAAGCCCGCCTTGCCGCCCTCGCCGATTGGGGATTGTTGGCTGTGGTTTGATTGATGGGACTTCTTCATTCATAAGTGCCAGCGCGGGGGCCACTACTCGTGTGCGTGCTTTTTGCATCTCCAACTTGTCTGCAGTCCAATCTAGACAACATGTAAGTTCCCGAAAGGGGCAGGGGTGACTACTGTTGGCTACAGTGAGAATCCTTGCGCTGCAGCAGCGATGTGCATGTGCAGCAGGCCTGTTGGTTGACCATTAATATATATATATATATATATATATATAATTCCATAAAGTATTCTTGGTGAACCAACAAGCTGCCTGCACATGCACGCCACTGCATTTTAAGCAACTCAAGGATTCTCACAAAACCCAATTTTTCAATCACCCCTACCCCAAACGGGAACGCACATGTTGTCTAGATTGGTCTACAGACAAGTGGACGTCCAAAAAACACGCAGACGAGCAGTGGCCCCCGTTTGGGCACTTATGAATCTACAAGATCCCTCCAACCAATCAACTACCCACCACCCCCAATCGTCAAGAGCGGCAAGTCGGTCTTCTCCAGCTAGACCTGGCACCCCTAATGGATAAACGAGCCACCCAGCAGTGTACTAACCAGCAGCCATTCCAACCGTCTGGCCTCCAACTGCTTTGCGCTGATACAATCAATCGGAGCCCCTAAACTCCACATGAATCTAAAGATCGAGTTTGTCCCACAAGGTCAGCCAGAACGTACACCCTCCCATGGGGTAGATGTCATGGACCCGACCGAGCGCAGGCACTCAGCTAAGCTGGGTTAATCCCACTACATAAGTGGGCTGATATCATTGGCGTCCAGTACCCTTTTAGCACTGGATCACATAACCCAACTGGAGACCCTATTTTAAAGGGCTGGAGCTTCAGAGTGTTTGGTAAAACCACATAGGGTCGGCGTCAATAGTCCAGGATCTTTACGGCTGCTTCCCCAGAGAAATCGTCTAGGACCGCCTTCAAGTAATCCTGGAAAGCTATATCCCATAAAGTGGCTTATAGGAGAAAGAATAATAATGATTTCAGCATTGGGTTGATTGGAAACTAACACTACAGAGTTAGAAATCAAAACTATGTTATCTTTATTCGGTATCTAAATACTTATGGATCACCTAATCGGTATTTGAATATATACAATATCTAGGAGTGCTTTGTTAAATAGACTATCATGTAAATGTTTGATTTAAGTAGCGGAAACTTTTCTGGCAATTAAGTTTTTTGTATGCCGGAAGTATAAGTATCTATATACATCAGTAAGTAATAGATGTTCTCTGTGATATTACACATTGCTTCATTAGGCAGCATAGTGTCCAATCACTTAAACAGTTGTCTGCTTATATTATGACCTCCTAACTGGTAAAATTGATCAGCATAACGTAGTAGACAAATGTAATATTGATTAGTATTGAATGATCGGTTAGTACAATATTCAAGCATTTTATTTTCATGTTTAAGGTCTTATTTAAGAAGATGATTATTTTTATCACCTCATTCAAAACAAACCCGCTGAAATATGTGAAACATTAGGAATAGTGATTAGTTAGTTTCCAAGGCTTGGCAGCATAATTTATAGTCAACTAACATGATTTGTTTTTTTCACATAACCTTTTACATTACGCTTACAGAATATTTAGTTAGCCTACAAAAGTGTCCATCTAAGTTATTATATCACTAATCTTCAACTAACCAAAGAATCAATCAGTTCACAAATTTCAAAATGAAAATTATTCAAGTTTTAACATTGAAATCATGAATGAATGAATCATTTTTGGATCATCAATAGAAACCTTCTCGTTTCACCCTAGTATGGAACTCATCAGCAGTGCGCATCCACGACTCCTGACGCACTCAGAATTAGAAATTAGGGCCTTCGGTCTTGTGCGCACATGCTTAACCACTGAACTACTAGGCTTAACTTCTGGGGTACTAATGTCTGACAGTGATCAATCTAAGAGTTTTCGGGCAACCTCACTCATTATCTTGAGAAGTTACTGCCTACACTTGACAAGGGTGAACTCCACTGGTCATTTCTTCTCACTAGAACTTCGAGAATTTTATCGCAGTATTATAGAGATCATTGTTATAAAATAAATTTTCAAAACGATCAATCCAAAATGCAATTGTCTTTTTTTACATTTCAAATGGTCTGTAACAGAAATTCTGTTTTTAAGAAACATGTGATGTTATGTACCAAAAATAGTTAGGTATAAGGAAAGCTTCTCTTTGGTACTTCATTAATCCTTGATATGTGTTGGATTTCAGGCAGACTCGATAAAAGTATTAAAGCAGAAGCTTTTCTTCAAGCTCAACTATTTTCGGTCTATAACGTCAAATGTTCTTTAAAGTAATCAAAAGGGGGACCATTATTCTTCCTGAGGTCATCTCGAAATTTCTTTTACAAGTTTGCATGTAATTAAATGGGAAAGACTTTAAAAAAACTTTACTTTGCCCAACTATTTTTTTTCCAGAGTTGAAGCCCATATCGAGATAACTTGTACCAAAGATTATTATGGACAACGTTGTGATGTGTATTGTATACCGTTGCATGATTTATGGACATGTGATAAGAATACCGGTGCCAGATTATGCAGTAAACCATGTTTACATGGTAAATGTGTTCTCACAAGGTAAATAATACTATTTCTTTGATTAAAATAAACATAACGAATGATAGCATTTCTGTCATTAAGTGTCGATTTGCATTACATATTTTGATAAAGACGTATTATTGATTGTGCTTCTATAAATTATTTGTTTGAGATGTTAGCTCCTCAGAACTCACTTGATAAAGTTCCTAATTTTGGGTTTTTTGGGTTTTCGCGCATAAGTTGCTTAGCTGACCTTCTGCTTACATTTCCCACTCAGAAAATCCTTGACTGTCATTGGTTGGCGGGTTATTTTAGCACGCTATTTTTTTGGCTCTCCCAAGGACGTTTCTATCATGTATAAATAAACTCGATTTGTGTGCTTGTCGACCTACTATTATCTGGGTGCCTGTAGAATACACTTACTACGCCTTATCAAAACTTCTTTATATAGCTAGCCGAGCTGGGGATAAACGGATTAGAATAGCTTATCGTGTTACTGCGTCATTTGTCTTCTATCCGTTTACCAAGTAAGGTGAACTTGTAATAATTTCAAGCATATCAACTGGCAGGCATATCAAAGACAAAGACATATTATTGATTGTGCTTCTATACAAACTATTCATTTGTAGATAATGTTATCTTATAACTCAAATGCATCTACATTAGATTTAAAATTACAAAATTAAAAAACAGAACTATTTTAAACTTGGAAACACTCGGCAGCTATTACATTCTGAATTTGAAAACCACTGTCAGTATACATACAACTAAAATTCATCCATCACCATCAGCTGACAGCTAACATTCAATTTAAAAAGCGGACAGTAATTTCAAATGACTGATGATATCAGTTAGTAGTAATTAGGTTTTCATTCTTGCCTGATGTTAGCATGTGTACATATATTGTCTTGATGAAAGCGAAATCAAAGTTTGTTTTATTCTTCAGACGGCTTGCCTGGCTTTAGCCAGCCTTGTGTGAGTTATGACGTAGGCGAAATGTCTGTTTGCTAACTAAAGGAAAAGTCTACTGCTCAGCAGTTCACTCCATCCTACTCTGTGGGTATGAAATATGACCAGTTAGAGTAGTCAGTAATCGAAGGGTACTAGTTTTCGACCATAGGTGTCTTCGAAACAATACTCGTTTATCCTGGGGCGATCGGGCAAGCAATGTTGTTGTTATGAAACACGTACTAGGTAAGGATGTCCGATCAATTAACGAAGTAGTGAAACTCCGTCAGTTGAGGTGGTTGCTTCATGTGTTACATATGCCCAACCACCAACTGCCTCGACGAGCGATGTTTTATGATAGAGGAGTAAGTTGGAAGAATGATAGGGACGGACAAACCAAAACATGGCACAAATCCATGAAGTTACTGATAGTAACCGATAGTAACCTCTACTACTGTGGTGTGAGCTGCTTATAGTAGTATATGACGTGAGTGTCAACGTTAATGTCTGGCAGCAGCAGATGGGGGGGGGGAGGTCAAGAAAGGAAGAGTTAGAACACCAAATGGAATTTGTATGAAACGCATGAATAGTGACAATGGATTGATGTTTTGCAACAGGAACAGTCCAGCTCGATATGATGAACTGATATTTTGCAAATTAACGATTTACGATATGGTTTTCCTATTTTACTGAGTAACTCTGTAATTTTCGTTAAATACAATTCGGTTGCCCCACCTGTGTTCTCGTTCACTACACTACTATGGGATATGAATTACCAACTCGATCTCTGTGTACAGGAACTTGAACTGATGTACGTACGTACGAAGTTCTAGATTATAGCTGACTGACTGACTGACTTAAATCGTTTACAATCTGTAATATTTTAAAAAATTATAATGTCCATGTGAGTTTAAATTGCTTACATCACTGAATTAAGTTCCAAGGTGTAAAGAACCCATGTTAGTGTACTATAACAGTGATGTATTTCATAAAAATGACCTTTTATTGATACTCATATTTAATCAATTCTGAGGTTGCATTCAGCAATGTCATCTTTTATGATCGATTCCAATTGTAATAGTCTAAAAATGGCTCGTGTAAACAACACAGTATATTGATTGAATTTAACTAATTTCATTCAATGTTCACTTCACGTTACTCATTGATCTATGTTCAAGACTGTCGTATGACTTGCAACACGTATGCAAACTCTGTCCAGTTTATATTTATTGATATTTCTAGGTAAGACAATCTCAGTGTTTACGTGTAGGTAGATGTATGTGTGATCTACTTACTTTTAAAAATGGATTTATTGACAAAACACTCCCTTCTTCGCCATATTAATCCAAATCAGAAGATAGGTCTAGGAAAACAGTCAGTTTTCCAAGAAAATATATGCACTTAAGCTTTAATCGTAATAAACACAATAAAACATAACTACAAATCTTTTATAAAATAACAAAACTGTAAAAAAGGTAAGATAATTTATAGAAACTAAAACCGAACAATTTGGCCTACCCCTTAAAATCAGATATGCGTAAAATTGTTTTAAATATTAGTGAAGAAAGGTAATAAAAGCATACCTGGCAGTGTTCGCATAATATAGAAGAATCATTGTTGATTTATGTCAATGTTAGACCATCAGTAATTATTTGAAAGCACTGGACTACCCCTTCTTCTATGTATGGGACTCATCAGCAATGCGTATCCATGAGCACGTGTGCGGGAATCGAACCTAGCACCTTTGATCTTCCGGACAGACCCCTAATCTCTTTACTGGTTAGTGGACATCCAACGGTGTCTATCTGTAAATTCAGTCAATCCGCAATACTGGTCAGTCATCTACTATTGTCCTTGATGGTACCTTGCATTTGCGTAAGTAACAAACACTTTCTATGGTATTGTCGCATATTTATGTGTCTTAGTGTAAGTCGATTCACTAAATATCAATCCCTATTCCATGGGAATAGGGATTAAATGCTGTTCTGCTTTCGTTCAGTTCTGGTCTGTGATACTTACGTATCTTGAGCTACTCTAATTCGACCGGTCCTCTTTGAAATTGTTAACAGTGATGCGCAGATAACACATTAACACACGGTAGCTTACACAGAGAGAAGACAAATGTGTGTTCGTTAATTGGTATGCTTGAAACTTTTACGAGTTCATCGTAGTTGGTAAACGAGCAAAGGCAAATGAACAAGTGACACGATAGCCTACCCTGATCCGAGCGTTCCAAGGCCTCACTAAGTAGAGGAAGAAGTATTGGCAAGACGTAGAAAGTGTATTCTACAAGCACCAGGAAAATATGAAGGGGAGCCACAAAAACATCTTACTAAAATAATAACAGTCAAGGATGAGAAATATAATCTCAACGTCAACTGATCAGCCCATGCGCCGAAACACAAAATCCAAAATTAGCACCTTTTCCAAGTGAGTTCTGTGGGATCAAACGTCTCCAACAGATTACAAATTATACTCTGTTATTCTTTCTTATTATTTCATTAAGCTATAGTGCAGTATGTGAATGTATAACAGATTGGCAAGGTGAATTTTGTCAAACACCAATTGAAACGAAAATTATATCAACTATTTTAGCACCTGACATTAAAACAATTCATGTAGCTAAACCAATACGAATCGATCAAGCTACAAAGAATTGGAGTCGGAGTATTTATCTAAACAACAAGATCATGGCTCCATCGGTTATCACGACGACAACGACAGCACCAACAACACCAACAACAAAGACACCAAATCTACTGACAACAAGTCAATCTGATCTTACTAATCATAAAATGAAACAAATGACAATCAATAAAACTAACAAAATTCCATCCGAATCGACGAATGACGAGACAGTGAAAATTGTTCAATTGAAATTTGATAATTTACAAAAATTCCAAAATAATCCACTGGCTACTGATAGTTCAAATGATAAGCTGGTCAATCATTCGAAAACAATCAATTCAATACAATCTAAAGTATCCAGGATTGATGAGAGAAGTTTGGAAACGGGTAAAGAATCAGATGGTGTTGTTCATCCAACTGGTAATAAATTATTATTATTATTATCATTGGTAATTAAAATAATTTAATATAAATGATATTTCATTAAGGGGTTGTGAAGATTTTTTTCAGGCACAGTTTTGGAGGTTTGTGTTTTTGCACATTCGAAATCATCAATCAATCATTGTTAGACCACCATTAGAAACCTGGAAGCACTGGAGGGTTATTGCATCCTGGTATGAGACTCATCAGCAGTGCACACCCATGACTTCTTCACCTCACAGGGTTCGAACCCAGGACCTTCGGTCTTGCGCGCGAACGCCTAAATATCGGGCTAGCTTTGTGAGGAAATTCTCGGAGTTCTAGTTGAGAAGACATGACCAATGGAGTTCAACCCTGTTGGGTGTAGGCGGTAACTACCAAAGACAAATAGGTGAGGTCGTGCAAAATCTCTAGATCAATCAGAGTTAGACATAAACACCGTTAGATGCTGGCTCAGTGGGCTATAATTTAAGTGTTCACACGTGAGACTGAAGGTTCTAAGTTTGATCCTGAGGTGAAAAAGTCGTAGACGCACACTGCTCATATTAAAACAGTACAGTACTTTCAGATTTCTAAGGATGGTCAAACAATGGTCGACTCCTTATTGCATTGAAGATTATTTGGTTGGTTGAAATAAAGTTTTTTTTAAATATTCATGTATGCTTTTATTCTAAATGATCTTTTTGTAGTTTGACTCTTAAGAATGAGACTGATTAATTTTATCCTGATTGATGGACACTGAGCCAGTTTAAACGCTTTTACTGATTTAAGATTGACCTAAGTACCAAGCTTGTAGAAACTGACTTTATCTCTGATTTTGAAATACTATACTATGTTTGTACTTGTCCGAATGCGGTGATAAGTAAGATAGTCTGTTGAAATGATTTACAAGTACAGTATATTCACAACAGAGAGAGAAGTTCTGATGAGAAGTCAAGACAATTACACTATAACGTCATGGCTGTGAAACAATTACCGATTGGTGACGATAAATGGTTGTCACTGATGTCACTTTGAGAAGAAAACTCCCTTTCAATTGAACAGATATTTCGAAATGTTAGATGGCTATCGGTTTCATAAGGTTGGAATCCACAAGTGAGATTCGGACAGACGTCACCATAATTCATATTCGGAAACATTGCCAATGAGCCATCTGACCAGCACTTATAAATATTAACACCTAATTGGCTACTGTGTTGTGACCGAATGAATTGTTTTGGCCAGTAGTGAAGGGCTAACACTGGTCACTGATCAGTGGTCAACCAATTGTAAACTACAAGTTAACATATAATCATAAAACCCTTAGTCCTATATTTCAGTAAAATATTTAACAGACCTTAATAACTAGTACCCTTCATAATATTACTAACTTTCTATCGATATAAAAACATGTAATACTTGTTAATTTGTATTTAAAACTCATATAAGTTTATAAAAAAGAAAAGAAAAGATTGACATAGTTAAAATCAAATGTTTTAATCATAGACTAAATAAACAGTTGTGACTATCAACTTGTCAAACAAACGGAACAGATAAACTATTTTTTTTCTATTTTGAAACGAACTAACACACACACACAAACATTCATCGTTCACCAAATCACAGCCAATCAGAAATAAATGATTTAAACAATCTTAATGTACTTTGTTCAATAATACTAACTTAATTGATTATGTTATGGTTATCAAAATGTCCAAATCACAATAAATGTTGGCTTTTTTCTGTTGTTCTGAAATACCTCACAGCAATAAATAAATATCTTATCTAATTGTACATGATATTGTGAATATTAATTTCGTTTCTATGTTTCCCTATTACACACATTTACAAGATGGAAACCTGCGGTTATTTCAAATTTTTAACAGTAATAAATTTTTTTATGAAATTTATCTCGAAAACTTTTTATGGAGAAAAAAAAATGTGTATTCTGTGCAAGAGACAATGGATAGGGATAAGCAAATTTAAATGAAAGCGTAGTTTTTTAAACAAAAAAGCACCCTTCTTATTGAACATTTAACGGTAGTTTATGGCTGGTACTAACAATCATATCAATTTATTTTATTCATTCTCTACCTTTTAATAAATACGATTATAGTGAAAAGAGATAAAATATGACAATTGTTGTAATTTGCAAAACTGATCAGCAAAAAAGTGAATATATATCTACCTATGTTGTGTCATAAAACATTACAAAATACTTTGATATTTTTTACAGTAAAGTTGCTTAGTAAATTTTATATCATTATTAGAAAAGGTTTGAACTGCGCCGTAGTTAATAAACTTGACTGAATTTCCATCAGTCAAGAATATCGCAAACGCGGTACTTTAAATCCCTTGTAATAAATATGAAAATGTCATACTTGTTTAACAAATGAGAAGCTTTCTGAATACAGCAGTTCAATTGTGTATTTAAAGTGATAAGTACCAAATTCGAGTCTTGATATATCAGGACTCATTGCAAAAGCTGTAATGAAAAGTTCGCACTTCTTTGTAAACACTGACTTGCAGACGCATAGCCTTTACGAGCTATGAACAAAATGAAACAAAGATTCTGGATATCACTGCTAGTCACAAACTTACATCATATTAAGAAAAGTATTTTATTAATTTCTAAATACTTAAGTAATTTGTATAAGATGTCTACATCTGGATAGAAACACGGTATTCAATGGACAGCCAGGATGAAGCTAAACGATCGGGACTTCGCAGATGATATCATACGCAACAACAAATGCAAGAGAAGACGACCAGTGTAGCAGCAGCCTCTGCAGCAGCAGTTTTCAACTTACATAAAGGGAAAAGCAGGATTCTCCGATACAACACAATATGCGCTAACCAATTCACTCTTGATGGAGATGCCTTTGATAGCATCATCAACGAGAAAGGTGGATCCGATGCAGATGTGAGGGCGCGGATCGGCAAAGCAATGACTGAATTTCTACAATTGAAAAAAATCTGGAACTCCAAACAACAACAAACCAAAACCAAAATCAGGATTTTCAATACAAATGTCAAGACAGTATGGAGCGGAAACTTGGAAAACTTCGAAAACCATCATTCAGAAGATACAAGTGTTTATTAACAGTTGTCTACGCAAAACACTTCAGATCCGTTGACCAGACATTATTAGTGACAACCTACTATGGTAGAGAACAAACCAGATTCCAGTGGAGGAGGGAATCAAAAAGAAGTGGTGGAAGTAGATAGGACACACACTGCGAAAAGCACGTAACTGAGTCACGAGACAAGCCCTCACTTGGAACCCTCAGGGCAAAAGGAAAAGAAGAAGGCCAAGAAACACATTAGGCAGAGAAATAGAGAAAGACATGAGAAGAATGAACAAAAATTGAACAGAACTGGCAATGGAAGCTCAGGATAGAGTAGGCTGGAGAATTGTGGTCGGCGGCCTATGCTCCATTATGGGTAACAGGCGTATGTAAGTAAGTATGTAATTTGTATGCACCATCAGGAGTTTGGAATTATGATTCAAAACATTAGCTTTAACTGCGTTTTACAGTTCAAAATTGTAGTTATTATTTCAGACTTAACCAATTACTCTTCCAATTAACATCGATTCATCAGTTGGATTCCTAGTGACTCACGATTTGCAAGCTTCCCTCCACGATCTGCCCTTGAGTAGGGAAGTCTACAGCCAGCCTCTAATTATATTTCAAACAAACATACTTTATTTGCAAACCAAATCACACAGTAAATATAAAAGTAATAACTAAACATGAATATGTAAAATAAAGCTTGTGAATTAGGTAGGCTTTAAATGACAGACTAGTAACAATATAAGAATGGTGAATTGTCTAACAAGAATTACCGAATACAATGAAATCTTATGATTAGGGGATGATATATATATATATATATATATATATATATATATATATATATATATATATATATATATATTAGTTACATGCTACTGATGTATGTTAACCTACAAGAAATCCAAGTCAAAATAGAGATTCTTTCATTGATCATTTTAAACCATCTAGTGGGGACAAATCAATAGACCATAATAAAACCTTTAGATGAAAATCTATTCCACTATTTATATACTGTAAATGTGATTTATGTCTAACTTCAACAAATTCAAAAACAAACGCTCACAAAGCTAACTTTTTGTGTTCATTTAAGTTACATCAATCAAGTTTCACAGTTCATCTTTAACGAAGTCCATAGAACTAATCTTTTAAGGTGAGGAGTTTGTAAGAAAAAATTGCTAAATTTTATCATTTAACAACACATGGATTGACTTTAGTTAAACAATTTTTGAGAATCAAGAATTACTGGATAGTATGTTTTTGCCCTAAAATTGAATTCTTCAGTAGTGCTTATCCAAAATGACACGAGAAACTGAACCGAACTATTAATTCCAAGAAGGTAATTTTTGGAGTTCTGGTGAGAATTTTTATAACTAATAAAATTGTAGAACAATTCTATTTAAAAATTCAAAACTGATCAAGGTTAGAAATTCAGCCTATTAAATGCCGACTCAATGTTTCCAAGGCTAAGGGCTCACCACGACCCGTGGAGTTTCCTTGGCTCAAGCAATTAATTTTCAGCTGATGAATTCACATTACTAAGAAGACCTATGTTAAGACAAAAGAGAAATTCAGTAGCCCATCTCTCTCAGTGGTAGTCTAACCAAAAGCAGTCTGCAACGCAGACTTTATTATAAATTTAGTTAACAGAAATCTCATTGATAAAATTTATCAGCCACAGACAATTAATTTATTGATCCCACGTCTATTGATCCACCTCATGAAAAGCGATTAATTATGTACAGTACACTAACCATGGAAAATCATATCAACACATATTGATTCAAATAGCAAATGTCAACTAAAATGAAGGTAGATGTCGTATTCCTGAAGTATATATATATATATATATATATATATATATTCTAGTCAATAAACGAGAATGTAACTGGTTTATCACTTAAATTCGATCAATAAACTCACTAAGCAATAAAATCACGTTGATGTGCATAAACACATATTAATTATAAATATATTTGAATATCAATTTGTAGAAACGTGTAGATATTTTATTTGATGATTTGATAACCTTGAAGTACACTTGTGCCGCAAGCTACTTATAAGTAGTATATGACGCGAGTGTAAACGTAATGTCTGGCAGCAGAAGATGGGGGAAGATCAAGAAAGGAAGAAGAGTGGGAACACAATGGAATTTGTATGAAACGCATGAATAGTGAAATGTCAGACAATGGATTGATATTGTGCAAATTAACGATTTACGATATGGTTTTCCTATTTTACTGGGTAACTCTGTAACTTTCGTTAAATACACTTCGGTTGCCCTCGCCTGTTTTCCACTTCACTACACACTTATTGCATTATAACTTATTAACTGTCAACACACACACACACACAAATCACTAGTACAAAAGTTCAATTAGTTGTCATTGTGTTCAGAAATGTCTCTGCCAATTATCTGAACTTGACGTTGATGTAGACCAGTCTTCAGATGATATTTGAGACTTTTTCCCTAAAAATTGAAAAACATTTCTGTAGTTTCATTTAGTTTTATCATAAGATCAAATAGAACTATTGTTCCGGGACAATTTAATAAGACAGCTTAATATTAAGAGGTTTATATTAAAACAAAGATTTTTGAAATTTTTACGGATATTTGTAGAAAAATTATGGTATACTAACAATTACTAATGTATCATACTTTTATCTAATAAATAATAATTATTATTATTATTAAAAATAAATAAATATATTCTTTTTCATTGATAATGAACTGTAAAAGATGTGGCGTTTGATGAGTTTCATTGAAATGATTAACTAGTCAGTGTTAGACGACCAGTGATTACTTCGTAGTACCACACTGTCGTTTCGTCATAGTGTGTGATGCCTCAACAGTAGTATGCATCCACGACTCCATAGGTGGGATCGAGCGCAGAATCTTACGGTCTCATATGCAAACATTTAACCTTTGGTCTATCGAGTAAGGATTCAACGGTGTTAGTTCCTAGCTTCAGTCAATCCACGTTAGTGTGCAACTGTCATATATTGTCTTTGAAGAATAACAACTACCTTACACCCGAGAAGTCCTAATGTAACACGTGTAATCAGCAGTCACTGAAAGGCGGATAAGATCTAAAATCACAACACACAAGGTTAGCTTAACACTTCGCATCAAGAATGAACACGAAGTGATAGCCATGGCACTCTTCATTTTAAAATTAAATAACTGGGGTTTTTTTAAAGAAATGGGACTGCTTGTTCACCAAAGTCTTATGAGTCATCCTGTAAGTTCAAAGCATGCAGGGCTTGTTCTTTAGCTTCCAAAGCGTTTATGTTTGATCGACCTGCAATAGATAGAAAACAGAACAGGTTAGCAACATCATACACAGTGATTTTAACTGTGTTACATTAACTCCACTAGAACTCAGAAAATTCTCTCAAGAAGCTCGCTAATGCATCCTAATACTGGGATTAAATCGCCGTCTAATACTCCCAAGTTTCTACTGTTAATCTAACATTGATCAGTTTATGATTTGTAACAATAAAAATGTTTATTGATGAAGAACGAAATTTGGATAGTTATGGTATATTTGCTTTGTACTGAATACATACAAAACACGTGACTTAATATAAACGCTTCAATCCTTTTTTCTATCAAGCTACTATTTAGCGGGTATGTAACAGAAGAGTGGACATAATTAATGAATGGAGGTAACAAATATGATAACGGAGAGAGAGAGAGACAGTTAGTTTTAAAGTTATCGAGAATAACGACGGGAAGAAAGTGAAATTTTACAAGTTTTTATTCTATATAGCAATACTTAACAGGTTATAAACAGATTAACTGTAGTTGCCTGTTTAAGTCGACTACACATTTATATGACTATAAAACTAATTTTAACCAGTTTTATTGTTGTAAATGTTTACTTTATTATTCTTAAACATTAACGAGTGTAGCTTTTAAACTATGAAGTAACACTTTTTGGGCGGTTTGGGGGGTTGGATTATAAGAAAGAGAGTTAGTTTATTCTTTGTAGTAAGCATTATTGTATAAACGATAAATGAAAAATTCTGACGAAAGTCATACTTCTTTTTCAAGTTTCATTAAAAATAAAATAAAATACATGACAGTACCATTTACCGGTGATCTTACTGGAATTTGACAGCAGTAAGATATTTTTACGCAAAGAATCAGGATCTGTAGCAATGCTTTCTTATCTCGATGGAAAACGTCTATCCTAAAAACTATCAAATCTCACCCCAGTTCACTGTTTCGCGTCTCCAGTACGAAGCTAACAATGCATCAAGAACTACTGGAGAAAAATCTTGCTTGACCAGACTTAAACAGTTATTGACTGAACTCTGTGATCAGTATTTCAGGTTTAGAAGGCCACCTTTGCTAATCTAATTGGTTTTTCAATTGCCTTAAGAAGAAGTATCCTTCAGCAGTGAGAACGTTTTAGTAATTAGAAACTACCCACACATACACACCTTTGTTTCAAATTATAGTCAATATATATTGGATTTAATGTTTAATCAAGTTACTTGTTTTCAAATAATTCAGAATTCGAACCTAGTACCCTTTGTTTTAATTATGTCATCATGTTATTCACTTAACTACTGAATCCAGAGAGTTACACACAGTTGTGCAACATGCATGAGATCTTATTCAATTAGAAATGGTTTGGATTATTGTGGCTGTGTTTAGACTCTGATGTAGAGCTCACTAATTTAATGGCTCATGCTATCTAACGTCAATATTTATGAACAGTTGTATATGCTGTGAAATAAATCTACCCTTCAGTTTCTATCTGTCTAATACTTAGGTGAATCCCATTTGTACGACGGTGATAATCAGAGGCCATGTATGGATTTGGTTGGATGAATTTATTTCAAGCGATTGTTTGTGCAGACAGACATAAGAATATAAAGCGTGAAAGCAAAGCAAGGCGAAGTGAAGTGGAGTGGAGTAGGCGAGCGACCCGACTCACATGCGATGAGGTATGAATGAATAAGCATTTATAATCAGATAAAAGTGAGCCAGACATGTAATAAGAGAAGCTAGTGGTGCACACACATACTTCAATAGAAGCAACCAAGATAATAGCGAATCAGTGACAAAGTTGAAAGATGAGGGAATGGTAACTCGAGTAGAATGGATTTGTCAATTTATCCAAAGATTTCGGATGAACCCTGTGGACTCTCGATATTGAAACACGCACACTACAATACATATCAGTCTTGTCTGGCATATGAGCATCCAATTTTACACATTATAAACCTACCTATTTTTTGCATTTTGTTTAAATTCCAGGTCAATACATCAATACTGAAACACGGAACTATTTGATCTTAGTAAGTTAAAAGATAAAACAAGAGTAATTGATTTGAACAGAGTTGAAAAGTTCTAATTACTGTTGATAATTTTTGTTGCGTATTATTTAAAAAGTGAAGTTATTATTTATTCACATGATCGGGTTGTGGAGATTTTTGAGTTGTGGTGGTGTTTAGCTCTCTGATCTAGTTGTTTTGGTTGTGGAGCTTTCATTTTTCTTCTACTGAACAACATCATCAGCACAAACTTCAGATAGAAGTGAAGCATTCGAATTTCTCCACGTATGACCCGCAGAACGTTCGGCTAACCTCGATCTTCATTGGTTGCTGTTGTCTTTTGACCTGTCGTTGTTTGCACCTTTTTTTTGATTGTATCCCCCTTTTGATCTGTTTCTTGATCCAAAGTCACCTATGATTTTTCCGATTGGTTGATAAACTAGGTCAATGTCGATGTGTTTGTTGATTGCTGACTGACCTGAGTGTTATGCTTTTACTTTTTTAAATCACGAATCGATCGATGGTAAATGATCATTAGAAACCTGACAGCACTGGACAGCCTTTTCGTCCTGGTATGGGACTCATCAGCAGGGCGCATCCACAACTCCTAGACCTCGCGGGATTTGAAGTCAAGACTTTCGGTCTCTGTAACACTGGGCAAATTCACTATGCACTAGTACAATTTTCTGATGGATATAAATTATCAAAACATTTTTAAATTGTTGTTATCAAATTGCTAGAAGCATTTTTTTAACTAAATGCCTGCAACAACAACAAAAATAATTAACATTTCTTGACAAACTACTGAAAATTATTTGAGTAGTTGTTGGTGCGCTTCAAATATTCTATTGATATGCACCACAAAATCAATCCTAATTACAGTTGGTCACCATGAATCGCTCTAAAATTTTCATATTAGTTATCAAATGAGACCATATTTTAAGACAATTTTGATGAGACAATGTGAAGACGTAACTGATCTGAAAAATGTGATGTATTTGCGCCGTACACTTCGAACACTAGTCAAAGCATCTTATTTAAAATTGATAAATGTAAATGAGGGAGAGAGAAAATCGTCTTTAGGATAGAAAGAATAAGAAATTGTCACATTACTCTATTCTTCTCGTATTATCTTAACTCTGGTGAGGTCGCTTGTTCAGTCCCTTGATCAATCAGAGTTAGACATTAACACTGTTGGATGCCGGCACAGTGGTCCGATGGTCAGGCGTTCGAGCACAAGACCGAAGATCCCGGGTTCGAATCCTGCGAGGTGAAGGGGTCATGGACGCGCACTGCTGATGAGTCCCATACCAGGACGAAACGGCCATCCAGTGCTTCCAGGTTTCTAATAGTGGTCTAACAATGATTGATTAATGATTTCAAAAATGTTTAAGAACACTAATCTCCCTAACTCTAATTGAAAACTTTATTATTCAAATCTCCATACGCACCACATACATATGATTGAACAAAGTTCTTGGATAACAGTCCTAATATTTTGAGCCTCTATGAAATCCCATTCACTCCTGATTTTCCCATTATTGCCTAAGATTGGTCGATCCAAAAAGATTATAATAACAACTTGACTGGAAAAATTTGGATAAGTTATGAATCCTTTCTAGATAGTACGTATTTTTTACTGTTGATTGGTTCAATGAATTTAACTGTTGTATCACATTGACTCTTGATAGACTGAACTATTGAAAAGTGTTTAACAAATTAAAAATAATCGTTGAAAGAAAACAATAATCATCTTATTCAGAATAAGGATTAACCATGATTAAGAATTTGTTTTTGATCGATGATGGTTGTAGATAAGTTATATTAAAGATTTAATCAAATGAACAGTTGAATAAAATTTAAACCAGTGTTCAAATTTAGTATTCAGTGTTTTGTGGAGTGCAATCTGACTCCAGTTAAGAAGAATAATTGTTCATGATATGATATAAATCTTCCCCTTTATGAGACGGTGGTCATAAGAATCCAAATATGAATTCAGTTGGATGAATTTATCTCATGCGATCGTTCACGCACAGACGTGAGGATAAAAAGCGGTAAAGTGAATCGAAGAAATTAAGTGAACCAGTTCAATGCGACAAGGTTATGGTCAGATGAAAATAAGCTAGTCATATGATAAGTGAAGTAGGCAATCCATACGGGCACTCAAATCAAAACAACAACCAAGATATAAACGAATAATTAACAAGGTGAATTGATGTGCAAATACTAAATCGGGCAGAAAAGGTTATTCAGTTTACTAAAATGCTAGTAATGACCACATAGGCTGAACATACTCGTACACATTCTAAAAGTGATATCAATTGAGGAACCATTATATCATCGTTTTCTCAATGTTTTCTATTAATATGATCCTAAATAGAGTTCAACTATGTTGGAGGCATTACCGTTAATAATGATTGTATTGGATAAGAGCCATATACAAAATGCAGAGTCTTCTGACCACGCTGAGCAACAATGCGAGCATGTTCGGGATGCGGTTTTCCCCCTCGAAATGCAAAATGTTGCTTCAAGATTGGGTTGCATCGGCACCTGAACTAGTGATAGGGAGTGAAGTAGTCGAACGTGTAGACCGCTTCACTTATCTTGGGAGTCTCATCAGTGCCGATGGCCTGGTGACTGACGAAATCTCAGCTCGCATACAGAAGGCTCGATTGGCTTTTGCCAACCTGCGTCACTTATGGCGTAGGCGTGATATCCGTTCTCTAATCAAAGGACGAGTGTACTGTGCAGCAGTTCGCTCTGTTCTCCTATATGGCTGTGAAACATGGCCAGTGAGAGTAGAAGATATTCGTAGATTACTGGTTTTTTTGATCATAGGTGTCTTTGAAGCATTGCTCGTATATCGTGGGACACCCGAGTGAGCAACGCTGTTATTAGGAAACGGGTGCTAGATAAGAATGGCAGATCAATGGATGAAGTAATGAAACTTCATCAGTTGAGGTGGTTGGAACATGTGTTACGTGTGGCTAACCACCGACTGCCACGTCGAGCTTCGTTTTGTAGTGTAGGAATAGGTTGGAAGAAAGTTAGGGGCGGCAAAACCAAAACATGGCAGAAATCCATGAAGTCATTGACAAGTGGACTGAGCAATGTCGGTAATTGTCGACTACCTGGTTGGGGTCCGCGAGATGATAATAATCGATGGTTAGAGACCTTGAATGACATGACTCAAAATCGTTCGCAATGGCGCTGGTGCATTTATTCTTTGTGTTCTCTCAAATCCTAACCTTCTGGGTTCTTCAACACCTCTAGTTTCGACTTTCTAAACTTTTCTCACTGAATCATACTTCTTGAATAATATCTTGTAATCCTAACCTCTCTGATTACTTCTTATACCTTTACTACCTCTTGTACTATTGTATTTGAGTTGAAAATTACATCTCTGTACTGATGTGGTATGGCGACATGAACTGATGTATTTACGTACGAAGTTCTACATTGCATCTGACTGACTGATAAGAGCCATATGATTTATAAAGTTTACTTAAATTTCCCATATGTAAATCATTCTTACATGAACGCAGTGGTTATTTGTAAGATCTGAAGATTTTGTGTTTTAAACAATATGGGATTGAAGGTGTTCGCTGTTGTCTCGAACCATAAGTGCTTTTGTTTTCTTTCCACTGCTCTTTGAATGGTTTTCGTTCTTGCTGAAAGAAAACTAATCAATTCAAATTTTCATCATTAAACATCATTCATCAGTGAATTGTTTTTCCACATCAACTATACGATTGAATCAATAGTGATATAATTATTTTGTTATTTTTTTCATAGGCATTCATTATCATGGGTTTATTATTATGGCTTATTGGTGTTCTGATCATTGGTTTGGTGTGTTATCGTCGCCGACGTAATCGTAAAGTATCTGTTCGAAAAAGGTAAGTTGTTTTTATTACTGACAATTTATTAGTTGAGTCGAATAAATGAAAGTATCTATTAGTTACTATTGCTAAAGATTTGATATAAACGCTTCATTTGTAACACTGTTAGGGTTAGTTCTGGCGCTTTGAATATTTAACCTGAAAGGTTTACGTTTATTCATCGTACGTCCTGTTATGATCATCATGTTGTCTTTCGTAGTTTACATTTTTATGATTACATCATATGTGTACTTACAATCGAGTTGAAAGTTCGAAAAATTGTGGCTTCTGTTACAATAAAAGATAAAGCGTTATGTTATGAGGTCACCTGAGAATGCCATTATTATACAAGAAGCCTCCGATCCAACCCAACCAACTGTTTCAATACGAAAACCAAGAGTGAGCAGGAAGCTTTGATTGGGTAAACGAAATGCAAATTATCTTCCCAACTCATTCATAAAAATATATACATGTCCTTCAAAGGCGTAAGCCGCTACTTTTGACTAGTAGCGTACGTCCATTTTTCCAGAAATTAAGCCAAATCATAACTTATAGCGTGAACCGGTGATCGTCTCTTCGTTAGCATTTCGTCTAACTATGATCAGCCCTTAACATCACAAAGTGTACAAAATTTTCGTTATAATCGAAAATTTGCTCACTTGTGAGTAGCTTCGTGAGGAAACTCAGAGTTTAAGTGAGGAGCCAAGGAGTTAAGCTCTGTTGTGTGTAAGCAATTACCCACAGAGGACAATGACTGAGATTGCACATTACCTTGGATTGATTAAAGTTAGACGATAACGAAATTGGGAGCCGGCTCAATGGTCTAGAATTCAAACGATCGCGAGAGAGACCAAACGTTCTGGGTTCGACTCCTGAGAACGGGATTCGTGGGTGCACACTGATGATAAGTCTCATACTAGAACAAACTGATCATCCAGTGCTTCCATGATTTGAATAAAACTGAACAATCCACGGCTTTATAATGAAAATTATGATCAAATACTTAACTATCTAAAGATTTCAACACAGCTTGTCTCCTACTGGCTATATTGAGCCAATATGACGAACCACTGATCTAAGTTAGAGACTTACTTAAACTACTGACTTTTTAGTACATAAATTACTTGGTATTATTTATGTGTACTCATGATCATGTTGAATACAGTAATGTTTAGCATAGTCTCAAGTTTTCTAATAATATATCGTGAATTGTATATTTGATATGACATAATCCCAATCTGTGTAAAGCGTATGGATTCGGTATTTAGTTTAATTGC